ATTTGCACTGTGTGCTGCAGGATTTTTTTTATACTGCACACACTGACCATGCAGACCCATTATCTTACATGTAGGTCTACCAGCTTTCTCCTGCTAGATTTGAAACCGCTAGAATTTTGGCTTATTAATGTCACCAACACTGGCTTGTAAGCCGTACTTATGCAGCAGACGGGTCCAACAAAATTAGCAGCAAATGCATTTCCTAGGCAAGTGTTCATGAAGAGTGGGTAACCCAAAGCCTTTTTCAGTGACTGAAAAATAGCCACTTTAAAAATAACAATTGATCAGAGCAGCTATAAAAAAAAAAAAAAAAAAAAAAACAGCACTTCATATGCATGCAGTATTTTTGAAATATAGGATCTAATGTACAGGAGGGCACCACTTATTTGTCAAGTTAGGCTCCAGGCTACCACTGTAAAGTGAATTATTATTATTATTAATGTACATAAATGGTTCATAACATGTTTACACTATCAAATATTAAGTTAGCAATAGAACTAGGCATTAAAAAATACACATACAGTACACTTATTACTTACCTTAAAATATTTGTAGTCTTAATGTAGGGTGAGAGGTGAGTAGTATTTACTGTAAGAAGTCAGGTGTGGTAACTTGCCCAGCTACCACACCTACACAAAATGTATGACATTTAAAGCACCCCAAAGCGATAAAATGCACATGCAGTACACTCATTACTTACCTTAAAATATTTGTAATCTTAATGTAGGGTGAAAGGTGAGTATTTGTTGTAGAAAGTCAGCTGTGGTATTTCTCCCTGCTACCACACCTACACGAAATATACAACATTTAAAGTGCCCCGGAGCGATTATTATTATTATTATTATTTATTATTATTATTATTATTATTATTGACATACCTTGTTCACTGAGTTTAATTATTTCTAACAGCTACCCTTAGATGCCATCATAAATGAGAGAGAATGAGAACACGCGAAGAATGTAAACAGGTAAACATGTATTAATTCCTGCCTGCGTGTGGTTCATACACGTTCATTTCTCATACATTTGTGAAGCTTTTACCCCACAATACAAACACCTTACATTGTGTACAAGTTGTCTTCATGTTGATGCAGTACAATAAGTAACACCAACACTCCTATTCTCGTGCAACACACCATTTTTAGAGGGAATGATGCTGTGGGTGGAGGCATGTGGGATATTTTTCTACAGGTACCCCCAGTAATACTATTCTGTATGCATTTTCTCTGGTGTTGGACTAGAGAAAATGTAATTCTTTCCATCACTCATACGAGACGCCCAGCTAACATCTCGTATTTATGTCAGTATGTTGTATTGTGGTTGTGCATATTATGTTTATATATGTAGCATGTTTCTTGTATAATTTTGAAAAAATATCATAGATGGATTAATGAAAATGTTTATATTAATGTAATATACGAAATTTAAAGCACCTCAGGGTTATTATTATTATTATTTAATTTTTTCAATGACCCGGCCACATCCCACCAAAGCAGCGTGACCCAAAAAGAAAAACGAAAATCTCTCTTTTTAAATTTAGTAATGTACACAAGAGAAAGGGTTACTAACCCCTTGCTTCCAGCATTTTAGTCGCCTCTTATAACAAGCATGGCTTATGGAGGAAGAATTTTGTGCCACTACCCCATGAAGAATGGAGGTTATTATTATTATTATTGTATCTTCAACTGTAGCGAGACACTCTTAGTGATTTTAATGTGTACCCGCATGCCAGCACAGTGTGTAAGTTTATTTAGGTACAGGTACACATAAGTGTGATTATCATAGTACAGTAGACCCCCCGGTTTTCTAAGTTAATCCGTTCCAGAAGTTTGGGCTAAATCTGAAATGGCCAAAAACCGAAGTAATATTTCCCATAAGAAATAATGTAAATCCAGTTAATCTGTTTCAGACACCCAAAAATACTAATGAAAATGAATTTTATAGAGAATAACTATAGTGTTGCAGCTCTTCAGTGGTTAGTACATTCATTACTTACCTTAAAATATTTGTAGTCTTAATGTAGGGCAAGAGGTGAATAGTATTAATTGTAGGTATCCAGTATATGTAGGTACACATGTGTAGTCCCTCTGGGCTACACCTACGGCTACCTACACTGCAGAACACAGCCATATTACCACCATCAACATACCGTGTTCACTGTGTTTAATCGTTTCTAACAACTACCTTTAGATGCCATCATAAACAAAGTGAGAAGTAATGAATACAGTGGTCCCCCGGTTCGCGAAGTCACCGGTAACCGATAAATCTGGTATCCGAAGCGTTATATCGCAAAAAAATTGCCCCAGTTCCCGTAACAAAACCCGGTATGCAATATGATTCGTACGAGACGTGTCCACATGTGGCCTGAACTGCCCCATGTGTGCCAGTGTTTACAAGCCAGCCAGTGTGCGCGCATCTAAGGATACATTCGGTACATTCCATATTATCCATATTATCACTGTTTCTGGTGCTTGTTTCTGCAAAATAAGTCACCACGGGCCCCAAGAAAGCTTCTAGTGCCAACCCTTCGAGACCAAGGGTGCTAATGACTATTGAAATGAAGAAAGAGATAATTGCAAAGTATGAAAGTGGAGTGCGTGTGTCGGACCTGGCCAAGTTGTATAGTAAATCCCAATCAACCATCTCTACTATAGTGAGCAGGAAAACGGCAATCAAGGAAGCTGTTCTTGCAAAAGGTGCAACTGTGATTACAAAACAGCGATCGCAAGTGTTAGAAAATGTTGAGAGACTGTTACTGGTGTGGATAAATGAAAAACAGATAGCTGGAGATAGCATCTCTCAAGCGATCATTTGTGAAAAGGCTAGGCAGTTGCATGAGGATTTAATTAGAAAAATGCCTGCAACTAGTGATGATGTGATGAAAATCACCCTGACACAGCTACTGCAAGCCATGTTGGCAACCTGTTCACTGACAATGTTGTGAACCACTTTAGGAAAGTCATAAAGGAACGAGAGGTACAGGTCTCTATGGACAGATATGTTGTACGGCAGAAGTCCAGTGACTCTCAAGCTGGTCCTAGTGGCATTAAAAGAAGAAGGGAAGTAACCCCGGAAAAGGACTTGCTACCTCAAGTCCTAATGGAGGGGGATTCCCCTTCTAAACATTAAAAACTTTGACACTCTCCCCTCCTCCCATCCCATCAGTCATCACCTGATCTTTATTAAAGGTAAGTGTCAATTATTCTATTGTGTTTATTCTATTTTTATTATTGCTATTGTAATTATTCTATTGCATTAAACTTAATATTTCATGTGGTAAAAGTTTTTTTTTTTTTTCATACTTTTGGGTGTCTTGCACGGATTAATTTGATTTCCATTATTTCTTATGTGGAAAATTGATTCGCTTTCCGATAATTTTGCTTTACGATGAGCTCTCAGGAACGGATTAATGACGTGAACCGGGGGTCCACTGTAATTCATGCTGAGAATTGTAAACAAATGCGTGTTAAGGGTGGTGACTGAGCCAGAAGCCAGATTCACAGTTTTCTCTAATGCTCGACTAGAGAAAACGTAATGTTTACCCTCCACCCGACTCGCCACTCGATAGCATATAAACATCACATGTTTATATGCTATATTTATATGCTATATAATATGCAATGTGTTTCTTATATAATTTTGAAGAAAATATCATAGATGGATTAATGAAAATGTCTAAATGTCTTATTTTAGGTTAATATAGACATTTTCATTAATCCATCTATATTTTCTTCAAAATTATAGAAGAACCACATTACATAACATATAAACATGCCTTTGTTACTCGGTCACTAAGGGTGTCCCTTTAGTCTTAACGTCATAGTCATAATACTAATACGTAATAATAATTACTCTTGGGCACATTAAATGTCTTATTTAGGTTAATATAATGTGCCTAAGAGTGATTATTATTACGTATTAGTATTATAACTATGGAGTTAAGACTAGAGGGACACTTAGTGACCGAGTAACAAAGGCATGTTTATATGCTATGTAATGCTTTTCTTCTATAATTTTGAAGAAAATATGATAAATGGATTAATGAAAATGTCTACATTAACCTAAAATAAGACATTTAATGTGCCCAAGAGTGAGTCACGAACGTATGAGCAGCCCAGGTGAACGCTTCTGGTACCAACAATTTCTGAGCGGATGCACGAAATCCAGGGGTAAAGTACTTTAAAACACTTGAAATTTTGGAAAGTTTCCAAACATAATGGAGAGATGCAGAGCTCATGGAGTATGTAAACAGAGTGGCATGCGGTAACCATATTAGTGAGTTGGGGGGGGGGGGGACGTATGATGAGTTTAGGTCATAATTTGAAATGTCCATATTAGTGAAATACCGTAAGGCAAAACGCTGCACAGCGGGGCATTACTATATAGGAATGGTCTGGGGATGTAACTGATGAACAGAGGAAATGTTCTTTTAGTGCCAAGATTGTTTACAGTGTTTCTCCTGTACCCTATTTTTAAATTGGCAGTTTTTTAATTTCACGTGAAATTAGCAAAATTACTCATTTCTGATCTTAGTAAGTGGTTGAAATATTTAAATGGGAGGGTTCTTGTACTCAGTAGATAGAATGGAAGGCACACTAGCAAAATAGCTAGTACGCTATTAGGTGGAATGGAACAATGTAATTGGCCTAAAATAGGACTCAAAGTGGGCTAAATCACTAATGCATAAATATCGCCAAGACAACTGAATTTGTGAGTGTAATTCCATAAGTTTTCCATCAAATTTTTGTACTTTTAGTTTCATTACCTTTGGAAAAAGATTCTCTAGCTCATAAGAATTTTTTTTTTAATTCTTGGACCCAGAAAACGATTTTCAGATCAGGGGTCTAGACCATGAAAGAGCTAAAGCTTATTTGAAGTAAAACAATTACCAAGAAAAAAAAAAAAAAGAGGGATTGCCCTTTATGGTATTTCTCCTGGAAAAGTAATTACAGTATACTGATAAACATGAAGACCTTAGTAAAGTATTTCCACATTTGCAGAATACTCAGACACAGGATTGGCATGGTATATAAATGGTTACCTTGTCCCTGATGTGTACATAAAGAGAAACACAAAATATAGGTTCTTGGTTGAAGGCGGCTCCAACCCATATGACCCCAGAAGCTACCACCCTATGATCATTACAGGTAAACAGTAGAGCAAAAACTTTTATTTGTTGAATTTTGGTGTTGGTATAACAGATTGCATGTTAACTCTGGGTCTACTGTAATTTTATTAAAATCTGTGAGTTAAGCTGCTAGTGGTAGTATCTCCAAGTTCTATTGATGCCAGTATTGCTGACAAGCAGTAGCAGTGCCTACTGGTTATGCTGCTAGTAGTGCCATCTGTCATTTTTTACAATGGATATAGCAGACATTTAAACAGTAAAGTTTCATGGATGTGAGTGTTATAAGGCCTGATAGAACATACTGTACAGCTAGTACTTATATACCCTACAGCAGGTCAGATTTTATAAAGCTCTTAAGGCTATGTAGAAATTATTAAATTTCCCCCTTTATTTTTTTGCATTTCTATAGATGAGCCACATGGTGCATATTCTCAACTGTCAGAAGACCAGCAGAAAGAAGTTCGTGTTTTAGCTGGCATTGGTTACTCAGTCAGAGGAGATCCAAGACCTTTAGCAGGTTAGTAAGCAAAAAGGTAATGCAAACTTTTCTTTGTTGTTAAATTTTAAAATAATGTTTTTTTGTATATTTTTTTATTTGAAATAATGTTGATTAACTATGTAAATCATCTGTCAATGATGCCAGTTAAGTTTCTCAATCTAAGGCGTGGAAACAACCTTTCCATTCCCATGGATTAAATCTGATTGCCTCTGATTTTCCATTATAGATTTACTGTTTTCTTATAAGTACCTTTTAAATGGAGTGCCTTGATACTAATCTTTTGGTCCTAGGAAATGGGGCTATCATTATTATGGGGGAGCACTAAACCCGTGCGGATTATACGGCGCCTGTGAGAGGATGGAAGGCATTCAGGCTCAATTCAAGGAACTGAAGCACAAATCCAATTCCCTAAATCAAGAGCCCCTCACCAGCATCAAGGAACCTCCCTTGAAGGGCATCTCAGATTGAACATCATTATATTGCATCCCTAGGTGCTATATGAAGTGCTCAGCTCTTCCCTATAAATACAGTGGACCCCCGGTTAACGATATTTTTTCACTCCAGAAGTATGTTCAGGTGCCAGTACTGACCGAATTTGTTCCCATAAGAAATATTGTGAAGTAGATTAGTCCATTTCAGACCCCCAAACATACACGTACAAACGCACTTACATAATTGGTCGCATTCGGAGATAATCGTTATGCGGGGGTCCACTGTATAATAATACTCCATGAATATTAGCTTAACACTGAAACAAAACTATATACAGTGCAACTCCAGATTTCATACTTAATCTGTTTCAGAAGGTCAGTCTAAATCTGAAACATACAAAAACTGAAGTAACATTTCCCTTAAGAAATAATATAAATACAATTAATCCATGCCAGACACCCAAAAATATTAACAAAAAATACATTTTCTAAAGAATAACTATAGTTTTACATACAGAAATAAATATCAAGCACTAAGAAATGGATAAATGAACATTTAAATCACTATTACATACCTTTATTAAAGACTCTTGTTGGAGTATGGAAGAAGGTGAGAAGGGGAGAGAGGAGAGCTTATTGTTTGGAAGGGGAATCCCCCTCCATAAGGACTTCGGGTATCAAAGCTTCCCTTCATTGTCTTTTACTGGCACTGGACCCCTGTCGCACTAAAAGTCTGTCCAGAGAGCTCTGTTTCTGAAGTCTCTAAGATTTGCCTAAAATGGGTCTCACCATGCCTTACAACACTGTGTATGCCACTATGCTTCTTGAATCTGCTGACCCAGCCTCTGCTGGCCTTAAATTCACTAACAGCAGCACTTGTTCCAAGCATTTTCTTTACGAGATCCACATGCAGCTGCCTTGCCTTTTCGCAAATGATCGACTCCACAACACTATCTCCCGCTAACTGTTTTTTGTTGATCAATACCAACAACAAAATCTCCACATCTTCGATTGTTTGTGATCTCTGTTTCGTTAGTATATTGACCCCTTTCACAACTTTAGCTTCCTTGATTTCTACTTTCTTTGCCAGGATGGAACAGATTGTTGATTTTAATATCACATACATCCTGGCAAACTCGGCTAAATGATTTTTCTACAAACTCTTTCTTGAATTCTATCGTATTTCTCACCTTCTTTGCCAAAGGGCTGGCACTAGGAACTTTCTTTGGGCCCATGGTGGCTTATTTCACATTCGCACTCAATAGTTATGCACAAAAAACAATGGATTATTACGAAATGTTTCGGATGAACACGTGAAGTAATGCTCACTCGACCAGTGACTGAGCCAGACTGAGACACGTACATATAAGTGGCGGCTTCCCAGGTGGGCAGATGCGTCTGATACATACGATTTCTGGGTGAGGTACGAAATCCGGACCAAAATTTCTCCCAAAAAGGTGATCTAAATCCGAAACATACGATATTCAGTGCGTACGAAATCCAGAGTTCCACTGTACTGTATAGTGTATTTTTCCATGTGAGTGCATTAGCATAATTTACTGATGCTGTTGTCTTAGCTGAATTTATGGACCCCCCAAAGTGCAGCACTGTATGATACTAGTTTAATGCTTGCTTTTAATATAATAATTAGCAATACAGTAATGTATCTATAACACACTGTTTACATTACTTCATACCAGCATATTACAGTGGAACCTCTATTTACGAGTTTAATCCATTCTGTGACCTTGCTCACATCTGTATTTGCTCGTTTGCAAAGTCAATTTTCCTCATTTAAATTAATTGAAATGAAATTAATTCGTTCCAGTGGAATTCCAGGCATAACAAAATACTTCAATAATTTCCCTAATATCAACTCTACGGCTTATTTATCTATCATAATTCATCTAATATGACATAATAAACAATATTAATAACATAGAAACATGATATATACACTAGAATGAATAAAATACATGTCATTACATATGTGGCCATTGTTGTTGCTGGGGTTTATAGGGCCACCACAGCGGCCATTCCTGCTATGGACTACATGTGTAGAGAACCTAGGATAACCCAAGAAAGTCAGACAGAGTGACTTATAATTGCTACACTCTTAATGCTACACTTTGTCACTGACTCCTCCTGCTTTAGTGTTGTATATATCGTAGAAGTGGTACGCTGGTACTGTACTGCCTGGCCAAGTCCTTAACCCTCCACCTAGTTTGTGTATCTAAGATTTCCTGCTTTAATTCCATGGAAATCATCCTCTTTTTCTTCTCAGCACTGTCCTTTGTGCTTGTTTTATTAGGACCCATGGTTAGAAACAAGAAATTTTGCAAAATAACTGCACGAAACGTAAGGAAAACACAGGAATTCCCTCCACTGCGAGTGGAGTGGACTGAGCGTTGTTTTGATACGTACTGCCATCTTGTGGTGGCATTTGGAAACTCGCTTATAGTTGTCTGCCACTGCTGCTTCATGATGTCTGCCACTGCTGCTTCATGTTGTCTGCCACTGCTGCTTCATGATGTCTGCCACTGCTGCTTCATGATGTCTGCCACTGCTGCTTCATGTTGTCTGCCACTGCTACCTCATGCTGTCTGCTCCCACTTTTCCTAGCGTGTTGAAGAGCTATCCAGTATGTGAAGGTTGAGGGGCAGTGCCAATCAGACAGGTATTGTGACGTCATTTGTTTACTCTTGAACATCGCCAAAGAATTGAACGTTTCTGCTATTTTGAGCTCAGTTTCAAGGTACTTTTCATCGTGAAGCCAATCAAAATCATATCTATTTCTGTAGTATATCTTCCATTCTATCAAATGCGACCACAAAAACGAGAATGTAACCATAAAATCCACACAAAAATACACTACTAAGGGGAGGCTAATGGCTGAGAAGTGAACTCCGTTATTTATGGTCCGATTTCTTTCATTTTTAGTGTACGTTAAGAAGCATCTTTCCATCATGCATTGCCCAAGTTTCAATAAGATAGTCCAACAAACAATTGAGATCCAATTCCCTAAATCAAGAGCCCCCCCCCCTCACCAGTGTCAAGGAACCTCCCTTGAGGCCCGCTCGCATCTGGAAATTTCGCTCGCGTCTGGAAGCAAAAAATTGACCAAGCGACTGCTCATATCTGGAAAAACTTGCACATGAATGCAGTCGTAAGTAGAGGTTCCACTGTGTACTTGAAATTGGTATCCATTCATTTTTCAAACATCCAACATCTTGCCATTCATGGAGGCTCTTGGGGTAATCCATTACAGTACATACCTGATATTTTCCTTGCCATCTTTGCTAAGTATCATTCTTAAATTTCTTAAACTTAAGTTTCAATTTTTTCCCTTCAAGGTTAATATTAAACATAGATGATCTTTCAAGGGAAGCTACCTAGTGTAAGAGAAAGGCTCTATCCAGGGAATTGGAGCTACCTTCCTATTCCTTGGATAACTGATTACCTCCCATCCCCCAGGTACTGTATTATCCCTATGGGTTTAGCACTTCATATAATACACTAAAATGATCTACCTCAACATAAGCAAGCTGTAACTTCTATGAATGCTGACTAAAATGTACATCTCTGAATTATAATTATTATTATTACATTCATGGGAAAGTGCGAAACTAATAAGGATCATACAGCTCATGGCACATCTCTGAAGAATCTCCTTTTTCTTTCTACTTATTAAAATTGAGCCAAAAAGATTTTACTCCTTGTTAAAACAAGGAGCAAAGTCTTTCTGGGTCAATTTTAACTTGCACCACCACTGGCTCAGTTATATCTCATGCCAGTTTAACCCTTTGACTGTTGCAGGCCCCTTTCTGAAACTCATTCTATGTCGATAAATTTTTGGAAAAAAAAATTATTTTTTCTTATGAAATGATAGAGAATCTTTTCCCAATGGTAATGACACCAAAAGTACGAAATTTGATCGAAAACTCACGGAATTACCCTCCAGCGAAGTTAGCGGTCTCGGCGACATGTACGCATCAACTATTTCGCCGACTTTGAGCCCTGTTTTTGGCCACTTCCATTGTTCCAGTTGACCACTCATAGCTAGTTCTTTAGAACTCCATTTTTTCTATCTGTTGAGTACAAGAAACGGCCCATTTACCAATTTGAACTACCCAATAAAATGGTCAGAAATTGGCAATTTGGCCAATTTCACACCTCTTCAAGGGGGGCTCCTTGGCGTGGTGAAGAGGCTCTTGGTCTGAGGAATTAGCCCTGTCGGTCTTCTTCCTCAGACCGAACCTAATTACCCCCCATTCTCCCCTCCCCTATCCCATCCTCCCCTTTTTCCATTCCTCTTCCTCCTCCCCACCCCTCCCTTTTGCCCTTCCTCTTTTTGGCCTTTGGGATTTCTCCCACAGGCGCGCTAGTTCCTAGGTAGGGGAAAGGACACCGGGGTCCATCCCATTCCGTTAAGGTTCTTGGCGGTGGCATAGTTTGCCGTGGAATCTGGATTGCCTGGGGATGTCCCGATCCCTCTCCGGTATCCCGGAGTAGCTTTGAGTGTCTTTCGGGCGATGGGTGTATCTCTGGAAGCCACCTTTCGGATTCCGGGGGTGGTGGCCGAAGGAG